TTTTATCAAGTATGTAAAAATAGTCGTGGCAGTCAACCTGTTAAATTCTATGCTATACTGGTCATAATCACGAATTCACGATTTAAGATAGTACTATCTAAATTATTCTGTGGTAATACACAAATTCACTGATACGAATCGTTATCAGCAGCGGAACAACTCGCCACAGAATAAGTTAAATTTAGACGAGATAGTATTAATCCAACATTGAACCATTCCACCTTGATTTAGTTAGTACTTAGTGATTAGTTAGTGTTTGCTATAGTAGTTGAAATGAGTGAATCTACAAAAAGATCACTTTTGAGTTATTTCAAAGTGGAACCTAAAAGATTGAAAACTTCTGGAGATGAAGATGATCCTCAAGAAGTGAGAATTTAATTTGAGTTTTAAAAATTTTTGGTGAGGTACCTAATTATTTAATTATGTATATATATATATTATTGCTTCAGATACCTGAAAACCCACAACTACAGTGTAATTCAAAAAACAATATTTCCACTTCTAGTTCTAATTTAGTTTCTATAAATGATGTAAGTACCAAAGTTAAATATAAACAAATGTTATGAAAATAATAAAATAATGTATTCATATAGGTAATAGTAATCTATCTATCAGTAATATAACTAAAAACTATGCTAGGTATATTTTTATTATTTATGATTACACTAAATATTATTTCTTAAGATGTCACATATTGTTTGTTTTAGACAAGTTTAAATGATGTTAGAATTGAATGTACAAATGAATTAAGTACAGAACAAATTGTTTGTTCTTATGACATTAGCTTATATGTTGGACCAAAAGCCAGGAAGGTAAAATTAATAATTAATAATAATAAATTAAATTAAATTTTTTAATTAATGATTATAGTTTAATTTGAATTTGAGTGAAACTTTATAAAATAAAGTAAAATTTTTATTATTAGGTTAATATTAATAATATCCCTCAGTGTAGAACTAGATCAACCACTATGTTTTATGTTTTTACACATAAAACTAATTATGTTTCTGCTTCTCCTATCAATAGCAAATGATTTAAAAATTGATTTATTTAATTTTAATATTAATTCCATTGAATTATTTAATAATTGTGTAAACAAAATTGTTTGTATTTAAATATGTTGTATTGTTTTATTATTATTGTATTATTACTGTGTTAATATTGTATTCTAACGTTCAGTTATGAACTATATTATTTTTAATTATTGTAATTGGATTGTTTGATCCGTTGAAAATAAATAAATAAAATAAAATAAATGTATAAATATATATATAATATGTATGTTTGTATGAATAATATAAAATATATTTAAAATGTATAACAAATATAAATTATAATAGAAACATCAAAATATGAGTGATTAGGTAGGTTAGGTATCTACATATTATTTAAAATATTTTATAGATACAGTTATTGTATACAATTAAATCAACATTTGTTAACATAAATATGGCATTGACTAGTTGACTATTGTGATTATAGGGTATGTAACATTTTTTTATAATTTATAACATTTTTTATATTTACATTGCTATCAATTGCTTAGTTAAATTTAATATCAATGATTAGCAGCTTCTTCATATGCTTGTACTCGTATCTTATTTTTTGCTTTTAGTAAAACTATGTACTATACATTATATTTAAAATAACCTGTAAAATACACAAATTCACTGATCTTTGCTTTACATTTTTCACTCAAAACATTAGTAAATAAAAATGCATTTAAAAAAAAAATGTATTTAAGTGTAAAACTATAATATAAAATATTATTTTTAGATTGATTCAAAGACAAGATTTGAGTTGTTAAACAAAGAAGATTGGAATCCTAATTTCAGCTATAGATTTCCAACTTCTGGGAAAAGAAATTTAAGATTTCAATTTAATTGGTTAAACAGATGGAAATGGCTTGTTTATTCAAAAATAGAAGATGGTGTATACTGTAAAATATGTGTTTTATTTGGATACACAGAAGGTGGAAGAGGACACCAACAACTTGGGAAACTTGTACTTGTAAAGTTTAACAATTGGAAAAATTCATTTGAAAAATTTAATTCCCATGAGCATTCTGAATATCATAAAACTGCTTTAATGTGTGCTAATAATCTTATTGCGGTTTTTACTAATAAAAAACCTGCTGTGGATGTAATGATTGACAACAATTTAAAGACAACTATACAAAATAATAGAAATAAGATCAGACCGATTATTGAAACAATTATACTGTGTGGTCGCCAAGGAATTGCTATCAGAGGCCACAGAGATTCTGGAACAATTGATTTAACTGCTGAACCTACACAAAATGAGGGAAACTTTCGGGCCTTACTAAGATATAGAGCTTTAGGCGGTGATACAAAATTGGCTGAACATTTAAATGATTGTGCTAAAAATGCAACATATCTCAGCGGTAAGATGCAAAATGAAATTATTCAAATATGTGGTCAAATAATCCAAAGTAAAATTGTAGACAAAGTGAATAAGTGCCAAAGTTTTTCAGTACTTGCTGATGAGACAACAGATGTTGCAGGCATTGAGCAACTATCTCTTTCTGTTAGATATTTTGATAAAGAAAAAAAACAAATTGTGGAAGAATTCTTAACATTTACCCCTGTACATGATGTTACTGGAAAAGGGTTAGCTAATAAGATATTACAAACCCTTGAAAGTTTATCGTTAAATTTAAGTTATTTAAAGGGACAAGGGTATGATGGCGCTGCTTCAATGAGTGGGAAGTTTAATGGGGTTCAAGCACACATATTTAAAAAATTCCCACTTGCCCCTTACATACACTGCAGTTCTCATAGTTTGAATTTAGCAATATCATTTGCTTGTAATGTTAAAGCTATACGAAACACCATGGGAACAATTCAAGAAGTTTGCACATTTTTTCGAACACCTAAAAGACAACATACTTTGACTGAATCTATCAAATTAAAACTACCTGAAGTAAAAGCAACTCGACTGAAAATTCTTTGTACAACTAGATGGGTTGAACGGCATGATTCAGTAATACTTTTAATTGAATTGTTTTCAGCAGTTATTGCTGCTCTTGAAAAGATTAGTGTATGGTTGGACATAGAAGCATCATCTAAAGCAAATAGACTTTTTGATGCCATAACAAAATCAGAATTTATAATATCTATTCATATTATTGGAAAAATATTTGCTATTAGTCTTCCTCTGAGCCGTCAATTGCAGACAGAGAATATTGATCTTGTTCAAGCTCTCCAATTCGCAAGTTGTGTTGAGAGTACAATAAATTCATACAGAGATAACGTAATTGAAGAGTTTTCAAAAGAATTTCTAAAAGTAAATAATTGGTGTAAGGAATTAAATTTAAACATCAGTTTTGATTTAACAAGAACACAAATACAATCTAACAAGCAAATGGGTTTAAATGAAAAATCTATTGAAGAATTTTATAGATTGACAGTTTTTATTCCTTTCTTAGATAGTTTTTTAACACAGCTTCATGACAGATTCTTACAACACAAAAATTTACTAAAAAACTTTAGTTGTCTTCTACCAGCGAAACTAAGTTCATCAATTTTAAATGATGGAGAGGATGAAATAATAAACTTAATTAGGGCATATATGGTTGATATTGAAACTACTGAACTTGGAGCTATAGGAGAGTTGAAATTATGGAGAAAATATTGTACAAATCTCAAAAGTGAAAATGCAATTGACACATATCTTCAGTGTGATGAAAATGTTTTCCCCACAGTTCATAAACTTTTAAAATACCTTATAACCCTTCCTGTAACTACAGCATCAGGAGAAAGATCATTTTCTACTTTAAAGCGTTTAAAAACATACATTAGAAACACAACATCAGAAAATAGATTGAATGGTTTGGCGCTTCTAAATATACACCAAGAAATTAAAGTTACACCTGAAAATGTTTTAAACTTATTATCAGCTAATGCCAGAAAATTAAACTTTAGACTAGATTAATTTTTTTCATCTTGTACATAATATAATACTATAACAAGCATATTTAAAAGTCTGACAATATTTTTTTTTTTAATCAATAACAATGTATTTACTTTAGTAATAATTTACTTTTGTTCTTGTGTAGTGCCTTATTAGTAGCTTATTATATTAGTATAATACTATAATATATAATATTATAGTACTTCGTTTCTGATAACCTACTTTTATTTTATTTTTTTTTTTGCTCAGTACTTAAGTCTAGATTCTAGGACCTACAATAGTGATAATTCGGACCTTCTTTGAACCCCCCCCCCATTTTGAAATCCTGGGCACGCCACTGTGTGAAGTAATTATAGCAGCCCAAGGAGGTATAATACATTCAAGTGTATTGTCAGTCATGGAATTACGACGACAATTAAAAGATATTTCATTAACCATTCCAAAGGAACAAAGTTTACCATTCGATTTAAATCAACTATCATTATACGAATTAAGTAAAATGTCCAAATTAAATATAATATATAAAAATGAAACGCTAATTTTTGAAATAATAATACCACTAATAAATACCATAGAACTTACCTTATACCACGTAATACCATTACCAGTAGTTAAAAACGATCATTACATGCACATAATACCAGAATATGGTTACATAGCTATTTCAAAAACTCATGAATATTATTTAACATTATCTTTAAATCATCTTAATACATGTAAGCAAATAAAAATAGGAACTTTATGTCTGGAAATTCAATCGTTATGATTAGAAGCCAGCGAATTACCATGTGAAGTAGAGTTATTCATAAGACCATCTAGCATTCCAACCACTTGTCCCATACATTATCTTGACATTACGCGAAGTATTTACCACCGATTAAAATATAAAAACGCATGGATATATACGATAAAATCAACTGATAACATAGCCATTTCATGTGGAAATAGAGATCAGGCTATTAACATACAATTATCCAGGATAGGTATATTAACTATTGACGAAGACTGTAGGGGGTATACTCCTCAGATGGTATTAACACCAAATAGACATTTAAATTCGACCCATTTTAAAGATTTAGTTTCAAATGTAGATATACAATCAAACTTAACTATTCCTACAACAATAAAAAGAAAAATTAGTAATGTTATAACACACACTAACTCTGTAATTAAACTAACTGACTTAAGTCAATATTCTAAACCTATTGACGAAATTGAGCAACTTATACAAGAAGAAAAGGATAAACGAACGACTAAAGACACAACTAACTTACATACATACATAATTTACCTAATGATTATAACAGTGGCAGGAATAATAATAATAAAATGTAAACGTACACTAGCAGGTACATATTCAACAAATATTGTTAGACGACAGGTAATTTCATTACAAAATATTAGACGCACGGACGATGCCGCCATACCATTACAATGACAACAACGAAATACGAATAAATTAACCCATAACTAAAAAAAAAAAACTATATAAAAGGATTCTCGTATCTTATCATGTTGCAGATAACAATTATTAAAAGCAAGAAAATTATTATTAATTTAAAAATATATATACATTTAACTGGGATCACATAACTTACAAAACAATGTCGATACAAAACCTACCAAGACGATTACAATACTTAATGATGGTACAATACTCACTCATTCACAACGATCACGTATACAGACGCGTGCTAACCGGCGATGAGCCAACATGTTTAAATCACCATATGACAATAGCGAACGAACATTTAGTAAACCCATATACACCGCTTGAATTACATAGAGTAAAAGAAATAATTAAGAAGACATTAGAACTAATAGCAATAGTGCGTGAGGTGCGTGAACCAACTTGTTCACAATTAGCAATATTAATGGATGAAGTAATACAAGCAGTAGCGGCCGCCGAGGAATAATAAATTAGGATAAAATAGTATAAGGTATATATAGTAATAAATTAATTATATTTTACAGTGACCAGATTAAATTTATCATAGTGGATTTTGAATTCACTATAATAGAACGAAAAAACCTACTACTCGTATCAGGGGCAATTTCAAACAGTTTAAACAAGTATAGGCCAATAAAATTAGAAGGAAAACCAATCGTCTTAACAACCGATAACAAGTTAAAAATGTTAAAACAAAGGGAGGTCAAACAGGTAATGCAAAGTGTTGGGCGGATATTTAGGAATAAGCCAGAGTTGTTACTACCATTGTTGGGGCAACTGGAAGCCAGTATAAAACTTGAGGGGGAAACAACTCTGTCAACTACTTATCTAAACCAATACTTGCATGCTGACCACAGAGTACCCATACTTGTATATTGGAACGGAACAACGGACAAACAAATAATAAAAAGGTTAAGGTTACAAATAAAGAAACTTTTAAATATAACTGCATATAGTGATGATAACGATAATTTTTTCAATCTCAAATTAATAGATAGTACAAATAATATAAATAAACTTCTATACACAGAAAGGATAGGATATCAAGAAAAAAACGGTCGTATGTTAAATTTAATGGAAACACATGAATAAGTATGTAAAACCAACCACAATATTACACATAGTCACGATCCGGTAGCGGACGTGATTATAACAAAATGTATTTTCAATTATATCATTAAAAAGTTAGGACCTATACAGCTATACAAAATTTGCAAACTAAATTAGGAAATTATCGTAATTAAATACTTGTAACATTTTAGAAATTCAACAAAAAGCATGGAGTTCTTGATGAAACTCAAGGAAGCTATAGAGCAAGGAGGCCATACCTATATCCGGGAACCGGGAGTAGAAACATTGCCTACTTGTCTCATTAGGCATATCTTGGACGCAAATGAAAGATTTTTGGAACATTTTGATAATCAGTATATATTGCAAGCTATGTTTAATTTACAAAAAGTAATGGAGGATTTCGGATCTGAAACTGGACACTGTCAGTATTTGGCAGAACTAATAAATATAGTACCGGAGGCATCCGATTTATTAAATTATGCAAATAATTAGTTAATAGGGCAATATTCAATTATGCAATTATACCAATACCCAGGGACGAATGAAGGGGGTTTTAAAAGAATGTGCATAATTGTGAGCAACCTAATTAATAAAAAATAATAATAGTATAGTTATATAATAATTTAACTTATATTAAAGTAAAGTTTCCGTAATAGCACTATGACCAGAGAGGATATATAATTTATGTACTTATGTTTAATTAATTTTCAGTTATGTATAATTATTTTATAACAGGAAAGAAAAAAATGTAACCATGATTAAGTGAAATCATGAAACAGTTATAAAAGCTGTTCTAATAATGTATTATTAACTAAAATTTGTATTTTCAGGAATAGAAAATATGATATTAACTTCCATGTATGAAATAAGTGTAAGCACGAGTGATTAAAATCGTGTTAATTATTAAGAAGTTATTTTTAAATGTAATTGTTAACAAGTTGCAAAAAAATATTTTATCATAAACCAAAATACTAATACTAATATTAAGAGAAAATGTAACAAAAGAAAAAGAAAAAAAATGTGAAACCACTAACACCTAAAAATTAAGATTACGCAAATTTTTAAGATTTCTGTTTCTTACAGAACATAAATCTTTTTTTTTGGAAGGGAGGTGTTACGTACCGTGTTATTTTACACATATATATTATACGGAGAGATGACGCGTATACCGATGGGATAATATATTCAAACAGTGTAGTATCGAACGGCTATGGCGATCACCTGCACATCGTGATATTAAATATAATGAATAAGACATGGTCACACGTCTTGGACTTCTCAGAAATGATGAGTAAACAACAGTGTTAACATTGTACTATTTAATATGACAATTAAGACTTGATCACACGTCTTGTAATTCTTAGAACTGATGAAATTGCAGGAAAGGCACCCGACTGAATAATACATTTAATTTAGAGAGCTCCTTTAGGTCATCGGAAGTCGCCACCTCCCCAGTCACCACTCTTGATGGTTAACCAAATATAAGGGAGACCGGGGCAAGAGCTCAGCAGACGGTTAGGGATATTTGAGACGCTCAGAGGCAGGTCGTAACACCACTCACGGTCTCGTCTATCAGTATTTCAGAGGCAGGTCGTAACACCACTCACACCATCTTGTGCTTATAAAATTGTATTCTTGTACGAGTTAATTGTATTAAATAAAGACTTAATCTTTTAACTTACAAAACATTAGTATTTCTATTTCTAAGTTGATATATGAATCGACTTTGACATAAGGGACGCAACACTTCACTAAAATTATTGGTCTGATTACCATGGACAGTAGCATCTCTAAAAGCAAGACACCATAATTCTTTCCTCGCCCAATAATTATTCATATATTTCACCCATTTTTCATACTTAAGAGGTATAATTTCATCACTTATACTATTATTTATAGTGTTTATTTTGCCAATAGCAGTAGTATAGGCATTGTGATCACTATTATAATCAGGTGCAATTAAAATACTCTGAAATAATTTAAATAACAATTTTCTGTGTTCATTTTTGATATTATGTTTTACATCCCATAACCATCTTCAAACTGACTGTAATACATGGAACCTACAAAGCAAAATATTTGATTGTGGCCAAATTGATTTTAGTGATTGTCTTTCTGCCTCGCTATCATCAATTATAAAATGTCTTGGAAAACCTTGGCCATAAAAACTATTAAGAACTGAATCTTTCAGTAATGAAAATGCAGTCTTATAGTCATCAACTGTTTGTCCTTTTGTTATAAACATGCCCAGAGGAATAGCTCCAATACCATATGCTGTTAGCATAAACGTAACAGAATGACTCTGAGTATCACATTACGCAGTACTGTCTGCAAAAGCAATATCTTTAGAAAAAGCTAATTGATGAGCTCTTTGCATAATTGGAGTGACCACTAGTATAGCAAATGGATTTTCATTAAACCTTACAATAATTCCACATTTTTCATAATCGGTTTTCTTATCTTCAAGTTTCTACAAAATATTTATTTAAGAATTAAGTAATACAAAGTTTAATATCAGTTTTACAGTGTATAACTGTAGGATATAGATTATAAAAGTACATTGTCCATTGGTAATTTTAAAAATGAAATATATTTTAAAATTTTTTTAATAAAAAATAAGTACCTAATTTAATTATTTAATGTATTTAATTAGATTCTTTTTACTTGGTAACAATATAAAAAATTTTTATTTAAAAATAAGTGGTGATATGAATTAATACGGAATTTTATTGTATGGTATTATGGTCACTTGCCCAAATTTATTTAATTAATATAATATTTAATAGGTACAACATAATAAATTGTTAAGGAGATA